GAGGCCCGAGAGCCGGGGGAGGGGCTGGAGAGCCAGGAATGCGCTGACGGGAGGGGGGGCAGCTCAGTCTTGCAGCCCGTAAGGGACCACCCAGCAGGGTCCTCGGCCTGAAGCCAGACTTTGGCTGCTCCTGGGGTGGTGCCACGTGCAGGGCTGGGGTCCGAGCCAGTCCTCCCAGAGGCCCATCATGCAGGCACAACCTTAGGTCTGAAGCTTGAAGACTTGGAAGCTACCCAGAGTAGGGGAACACAGTTGGGGCTGGCGTACTTGTAAGGTATCCCCAAGGTAGTAGTCTGTTCTAGCAGAAAGAACGCAGGTCTGATTTCAAATCCGAGCTGTTTGGATTTTTGGCTGTGTGGACTGAGTTTCTCAGTTTCCTCATCAACCAAAATGCCTACTTTGTGGAGTTGCTGGGAGGATTTGATGAGCCAAATAGATATCATCCTAAACTAGGGAACATCTGGCTTCTGCTAAGTGCTGAGATCACTGTTCCTCAGTGGAATCAGGCCAATCTCTTAACCTAAAGCATTCCTGGGTCTCGGTGAATAGTTGTCAATATGATGGCCCCGTTGTCCAGAAGGACTTGCAAGTTTGGAAACTGGGTAGGGAGGTACCGTCTATTTTATGGCCTCTTGAGATTCGGGGTCTGGACACCTGTTGAGGGCCCCTATGGGAAGGTAAGGAGTGGGGTTTGACACAGAGAAGGACTGGTCACAAATAAATCAGAGTCAGAATCCCTGAACCCATTAGTCTCTGTCCTAGTAGATTTGGATAGGGAAACAGGCCTGTGCACCATATGAGTTGCCAGGGCGCAAGTTGGAGATGAGCAGCAGCTATAGCTTCGAGGTTCTTGCCAAGTGGAACCAAAGACTCTTTTCTTACTGCCCTTGTCCTTGGCAGACCAGGCAGAGCTGGGTTGACTCCACGAAGAATGGGCAGGAATATTGTCCCATCTTTGGGGCTGTCCTGACACCCAAAGACCTACGTTCAGAAGGGAGGCTAACCACAGGCCAGTCTGCATATGGGGATGCTTGTGTACTCAGAGCTACCATCATGGACTGAGTGTTCCTGACAATAAAAAAGGAGAGAAACAGAACCACTCTGCTTTTCAGGAAAGGCATAGTAGAGCAAGGACGCTGGAACACTTGCAAAACAAACCAAGGTTGCAGCCAAGGCAGACACTTGAAGAAGCAGGATGACAGACAGGTTGATGGACACTTGGTTTGACCTGTAGAACGAAGTGCTGACCCTAGCACTTTCTCAGACCTGCTGTCCATACATTCAGGAATGGGTTCTGGAGGAACACATAGTCGAGAAGGACTACTGGTCTCTCTCTTCATCTGGACAGCCACAGAGACCTACCTTTCAGCTTCCTACAGTGAACCAGAATGTGTCCTTTAAACAAGGAGTCATGGGCTGAAGCTATGCTCTTCGGTAGATCAAGTTCAGAATTAGCCCTGTCCTACCACCTTCTAGACCAGTGGTTCTCAAGCTTCCAAATGCTGCGACCCTTTAATACAGATCCTCATGTTGTGGTGATTGCCCTCACTGTAAAATTATTTTCATTACTATTTCATAACTTTAATTTTGCTATGGTTATGAATTTCAGTGTAAATAATCTGTGTTTTCTGATGGTCTTAGGTGGCCTCTTAAAATGGGTCGAGACCCACGGGTTGATAACTACTGTTCTAGGTTCTTCTACACTCCTGCCCCGCCCCCCCCCATAGGGATGGGAGAAATGCTTGAGAAAAGACTCAGGGGAAACCCAGGCTGTCCTCTGAACTTCAAGACCCCTGCTCGAGTCCCCAGACTGTCAGCCAACTGTGGGGTAGCACAAGGGCAACAGCCTTTCACCCTGACAATGAAGTAAGCCTTGTCTCCAGCCCAAACTCCCTGTGAGTTATGGCTGCTGGGGTCTACAGAACATGTGATAGATTCTGATGCTGGTGGAAGCTGGTGTTGGACTCAGCTTTGATCAGGTCCAGGGGGATGGGGAGGGACAGGACAGGGGCTCAAATGGCATTGCATCATCAGCTCTTCAGGGAGGAGGCTGTGGGCTTCAGATATCTTCTATAGAATTGCTCTCTGCACATACTCTGTGGCCCCAGGGCTACTTTTGCAGATGGTGTGCTGGGCATTGGGATAGCTTTCTCCAGTCTCCAAGAGAGGCTTATAACTCTCTGTGGACCCAGCCACCTGTCCCAGCCCCTGACTGAGGCCTCTTAGGCCTCCCATCTTACTGGTCCCCACCCCCTCCAAGCACTTTCTGTAACAAAGAGGTTCCAGGTCCCTGCCTCACACCTGCAAATGCTCAAACTCTACACACTCACCCCAATTCAGTCACAGCAGCTGGCTTTGAGGGGACAGGGGATGATAGAGTTTGACAGTTTCAGGCCGCAGGGAGCTGCTGACCTCTCAAATAACCCCCTGCCCAGCCCAGGACCTACTGTCCCCTTCAGACACTTGCTCCCACTTGTTCTTGCCTTGTACAAATATTTATTGAGTGCCTATTATGCCTCCATGTGCCCAGACATGGTGAGGAAGGCAGGCAGCTTCACACTCCTTGCACCGCGCCACCCAGACGTTTTCGTGAACTCCCACCCTCCACATTGTCAGCCCAGCTCTGTCACAGCAATCAGCTCTCGGTGCTCAAAAGCACGGGTTGATGGAGGGAGGGTGTGAGGGTGAAGGGCAGAGAGCGCGGAGGAAGGGCAAAGGCTCATAGCCCTCTCCACTTCATGAAGGTTTGGAAATAAAGGTTAGGGAGGGGGTCTTCTGTGTCCCGCCTACACTGAAATGCAGCACCTTCCCCGCCCAGACCTCACTGGGCGGTGTCCCCGCACACAGGCTTAGGGTGCCCAGGCTCTCGCTGCTCCACAAACCCAGCCCTTCCACGCCGCCGTCGCCGAGTGCGCCAGCATAGAAAGGTGGCGGTCAGGAGTCCGAGGCCCGCGCCAAGAGCAGCCAGCGACATGCTCTGGGCTAGATCCAGGCAGGGCCCGCACAGCGAGAAGGTGATGCCCGTGCCAGCTGCACCAGCCAGCACCGCCAGGGCGCCGAAGGGCAGGACGCAGCGCGGCCAGGAGCCCCCTGCACCGCCGGTGGCCAAGAAGAGTGTGCAGAGCTCCAGGGGGGTCTGGGGACGCCAGGCCTGGCAGAGTGGGCTCAGGCAAGGGTTCTGGTGTTCTCATGTTTCCGACTAGGTGGCCGTGATCCGGGGTGGGAATGGGATTGGAGATGGTAAGAATGCCCACTACAGCCTTAGGTTACATCCTGGTCTGCCACGTCAAAGCCAATTGGTCCCTGACGTGGTGACGACACCAGGATGCCTCCACTGCCTCCTCCTGGCGTTGGCAAGAAATTGGGTGGGTGTGGGCGTGTGTAATATCTGAAGTGCTTCCCCTATTTTCATAGAACCCTTCACAAATACTCCACCCACTGTACCTCTCAGGGTTTGAGCACCTAGAACAATCAGTTGGATACTACCAAGGCCAGAATTGGCGGCAAGGTAGGATGGTCATGAAGTCAAAGGATTACTCAGCTTCCCAGAGGTTGGCCAGCAGCAGAGATGGACAGTGTACTTCCCTTCTTAGGATTTATGTCCAATGCGAGGCAGGACATTGAGACATAGGAACCAAGTGAACCAATCAGTGGACTAATTCTGGGTAGCCTGTTATGGAAAGGAGTCCTGGGGTGGGAAACGACAGATTGGCAGGGTTAAGGCCTCCTCTGGATCAGAACACTTGCACATAAGCTTTCCAGGTACCAGTGGAGTGACCAAAAAGGGATTGGTTAGTTAAATGGATGGTTCAAGTCAGTGGCATTCTCCTAGGGCTGGGTGCTAGTCTTACAGGGTAGAGCAGCCTCCTCTCTTGGCTCAAAGATACCTGGGTTCTGATCCAGGAGACACTTCTCGGTCCAATGAAGGCCATAGTTTTTCATGTTCTCCTGTCTCTCATTCCCTTGAAGCCATCAACCCACACTGTCTTGACTGATTTTGGTTGGCTGGACTGACCAAGCTGCTTAACCATTACCCAGTCCATACTAGTTACCTACAGACTTTCCCTGGCTTTCCACAGACTTGGTTTTACCTCTGTGCACACTTCCTATCAGGCCCCCTGTAGGGACAGTGATCCCTGTGACAGAGGCCATTTTTCCCTTGTGGAAGGTCCCTGTCCTCTCCCTAGTTTGGTGACACTGTGGCCAGCTCAAAGAAATTCTTGGGATGTGTTAAGTGCTCTTAAAATATACTTAAAATCAGCCAGGCAGTGGTGGAACAAGCCTTTAATCCCAGCACTCGGGAGGCAGAGGCAGGTGGATCTCTGTGAGTTCGAGACCAGCCTGGTCTACAAGAGCTAGTTCCAGGACAATCTCCAAAGCCACAGTGAAACCCTGCCTCGAAAAACCAAAATAAATAAATAAATAAATAATCAGGATCTTAATATATAGACCAGGCTGGCCTCAAACTCAGAGATATACCTGCCTCAGCTTCCTGAATACTGGGGTTAAATGCATAAGCCACAATGACCAGCTAAAAATAGTCTTAAAAACAAAACAAAACAAACACAGGTTTTTAGCCTGACTCCAGGCTTCTGTGTAACCTTTGGTGGCAGTACAGACCCTGGCTGTGGTAGGATCATGGACCCAGACACGGTCCTGGGCAGCAGCTGGGTCTGGATGTCATCATTGCCCCATGTGGCAGTAAAGGCCACTCAGATTGGCATGGCCCCAGTGACAGCATAGCCCTCAGGCACTTACAATGCCTCAGATCTTGGTCATCCATGTGGCCTTCAACAATAACAGGAGCCTTGGACAGCAACCTGTGACTCTGGTGTCCCAGGAACATGCTGCCACCAGAGCCATCCTGATCTGAGTGGCCCTTGCTTCCACCTGGAGCTAGCCCAAGCTGCTGCCAAGGCCATGTCTGGGCTGGTCGTCCTGCTGCAGTGGGGTCTGTGGCCCATGTTGCCTCAGGCGGCCATAGGAACCGTGTGATGGAATCAGAGGGCCAAGCTAAACCAGCCCTGCCCTTCCTTCACTAGATGCTATAGCAAGAGAGGTGTTCCCCCACATCTCAGGAGAGATGGTCCCACCCCTCACCATGGGAGGGTGAGAGCTGACCTTGCTGGCAAGGGTATAGGGGAGCTGACTCAGGCCTTTGCCTGATGGGTACAGCCCCAGTGGCCAAGACTAACCAGCTCAACTACCACCCAGGCCCACATCTGGACCTGGGGTTGGCCTATGCTAATATCTACCCTATCTATGTCTTGCTGGAGCTAGTGAAGGGACTGGTCCTGTGGAACAACCACCGGAGGATCTCCATGACTCGTGGAAGCATTGGGATATCTGAGAGGAGTTTCGGTGAGGATCAGTGTACCAGATGATGGTGTAGCAAAAACCGGAGGCCTTGAACTGGACCAGTCACTCATTGCAATGAACATTTGCAAGTAGAGCTGATGGGACAAAAGGGTATACTATGGGACACATCTCAGCTCTCAATGCCACCAGGATGGTGTTAGAGAGGTGGGAATGATGGAGGAATGAAAGGGTTTCTTTTTGATTTGTTGTTCTTTTTGTTTGATTTTTTTTTTTTAAATTGTTTGGGGGTTGCAATTCAGGGGGATTGGGAAATGAGTGGAATTATGTTGCATAATGTGAAAGTCCCAAAGATTCAATAAAGAAATCATGTTAAATTAAAAAAAAAAAAGTCTAGGGGCTGGAAAGATAGCTCAGGAGTTAAAAGCACTTGATACCCTGTACAAAGGGATCCAGGTTTGATCTCCAATATCCATGTGGCAGCCCATAACCAATTATAACTACAGTCCAGGGGATCTGAAGCCTTCTGGCCTTTGCAGGCATCAGATACACACAAGGTGCACATTTATACATACAGGCACCCACATATACATAAAATATATTTAAATTTATTATTTTACACATACATTGCCTGCATGTATGTATGTGCACCATATGTGTGCAGTATTTACTGTGGCCACTGGATCCCTTGGAACTGGAGTTACAGGCAGCTGTGAGCCATAATGTAGGTGCTCTTAACCACTGAGCTACCTCTCCAGCACCCAAAATAAAGAACTTTTTAAGACCTGGGGAACTGGGCTGGAGAGATGGCTCAGAGGTTAAGAGCACCGACTGCTCTTCCAGAGGTCCTGAGTTCAATTCCAGCAACCACATGGTGGCTCACACCCATCCGTAATGAGATTTGGTGCCCTCTTCTGGTGTGCAGATATACATGGAAGCAGAATGTTGTATACATAATAAATAAATCATAAAAATAATTAAAAATTAAAATAAAACCTGGGGAACTGAGGCTGGAAGTCCTTAAGAATCTTGCAGGAAGTCCCAAGCAAGAAATTCATGATGTAACCCCAAGTCCAGACTGTAGAGGCTAAGACCCTGACCCCTGCCCTTTCTTATCTTCCTAGGGAAGTGACAATCCCTTACAATAGTGGGTGAAGCCTGTGAGGTAACAATGCCACAAGTGGGGGTTCTCAATAGGAAGTAGTGACACCATAGGCTGCTACAAAACTGGTACCAGGTGACAGTGGGGGCGGAACTGGCTGAGTTGGCTGTGGGTAGAGTCAGGCCTGTTCTGATGTAGCTTATGGCTATCTGTGTTTGATAGGCTCAGAACAGCACTTGTGCACATGGGGAAGAGACTTCGGGGTCCCAGGGAGCACATGCTAATAGTTTCCCCATTCCTTATACAGAAGAGACAGTCATGTTTTTGAAAATTCTACTTGATATATTCTTCCCTTTATTTATTTTATTTAGGCAGGGTTTCAGGCTGGCCTTAGACTTAAGATCCTCTTGCCTCAGCCTCCCCAGTAGTGGGATTACAGGTGTGTACCAAGCCCCTCAATTGATAAAAGTCCTTAAAACCATAAAGAAACGAATATGAAAAGCTCCTTACCAAGCCCTACTTTGATATAATATAAATATACACACTTCCTGAAACAGCTCTAGTATCATACAAGTAGTTTGTGGACCTACAGTGAAAGAAAGTAGAGGTAGCTAAGAAGGGCTTCCCCAGGAAGGCAGAAAGCTGAGCCCTGATCAGAAGTCTGGTGGCTAAGCGGAGCCAAGGGAGCACCCTGACCGCCTCACTTTGACCACCCAGCTTTCCCAGTGAAGTTACAGGTATCTCTCTGCTCTTAGTGCCTCCAACAGGAAACTTTTCCTCAATCCCTGTTCATTATTCTCCACATGAGAGGAGGAGACTCTACCAGAGAAGCTTGTCTGCCCAGCCTTCTTAGTCAGTGGGGTCATCTCGAAGGACTGTGAGGAATTGCTCACCCCCTTCACAGAGCAGACTGTACGCAGCCCGACACAGCGCCAGCTGAGGTGACCCTCCTGCCTCCTGGGTGTTTATCAGAGGGAAGAGTTCAGCCATCAGAACCTGGGGAACAGTAAAGGGTCAAGGCCTCAGTGGACCCTATCCCGGGGAGCTAGCCCAGGGCTCCCCATGTGGGCAATCCTGGGACAAGCTTCCATTCTCCAGTCTTCCTTTCTGAGATTCTTTCTACGCATCCTGGGCAGGCAATGTACTGGAAAACGACCAGATCACATTGGGCCCAGAGGCTCAGAGTCACAGCCTATCCCAGGTCCTTCTCTTGAGACTGATCCTCAGGGGCTCAAGTGCCAGCCTCAGTGAGGTCATTGGCTCCTTGGAACCCAGGTATACATCTCCTTGGAACCCAGGTATACATCACCACCTCCTGCTCTGGAAGTACCTTTTCTAGATGGATCTGCTGGTCTAGCATGGCCACTCGAAGCTTCAAGGTTGCCAAAGTCTGCAGCTCCTCGGTGCTAGAGTAGAGAAGGAGCTCAGGGCTCCAGGAAGTGTCCATCTCTCCTCCACCAAGTGATGAGGCCTGAGTGGGCTTCTCCACAAGGTGTAGTCCTGGCAATTGTTCTGTCACAGCTATGAGAACAACCCATTATAGTCTCATGGAGTGGCAGCCATTACCCTAGTCTACAGAGTGAGTTCCATGACAGCCTGGGCTACAGAGAGAAACCTTGTCTCAAGAAAAACAAAAACAACCAAAACAACAACAACAAAAAATCAAACAAAACAGAAAAAAAAACAGAAAACAAAACAACCTAGTGTGTGGCAGGCTATGGTATGTTTGGTATGAGGGGTTTGCCTACCTCTGGTCCCTGGTTGGTGACTCTTTACTCCCAGGCAAGGCAGTTTAAAGTACCCTGACCCTAGTTTAGACCTTAGCACAGGCAGTGGTGGAGTAGAACCTCACCTGCTTGTAGCACCTGCACCCTGTGTAGACACTGTCCAACAATGGTCTGCAGTCCTTCTAGGATGAGTAGGCCTCGGTACTCCTGCATCCAGTCAGTGGGGGCTACAGGAGTTAAAGAGGGTAAGTGGAGTCCGTGATGGTCCCCAACCTCCCCGCCGCCCCCACCATCCATGCCTTCCACCCTCCACCCAAGTTCCAATCAGGATAACTGACCTGTTGAAAGCTCCTTCTGCATATGAAGTCTCAGCAGGGTACGGGCCTTCCTCAGGCTCTGGACGTGTGCCTCCACTTCTGCAGCACTGGGCCTGTGGCTAGATGATCCTGACTACATACTAGTCAGGGAAACTGTTCTGTGGCCAGAGACCCTATCCTCCCACCAAAGATGAGTTTGAAGAGATACCACTGCCATGCCACAATGGCCCTTTCCCAAACCCACCAGAGTTAGAGCTAGAAAACCCCAGTTCTTTTCAGCCAGAAGGATACAGCCATCTGGAGTTTGTGGAGGAACTCAGTTTTGGCAGCTCTGGTGACATCTGTGGAGTCACTGGCTTGTATAGAACTGAGCTGTGCCCACAGACTGGAACAGATACAAAGGCAGTCCCGGAGGAGAGACAAGGTTATTTTAACTAACAAGAGTGGACCTTAAGAGGTAGGGGAAGTGATGGACAGGGCCATATATCCCTGGGCAGGGTAGATCTGTGTCAGGCACAGTGCAAATACCGGCGAGGTGCCACCTTACCTGACCCTCACAGCACCAATATGAAACAGGGCCTATTACTGTCCTTCCAGAAGGAAGACAGTCCAGAAATTCGAGACCAGGTGTCATGCTCACCCCTTAAAATTAATTGTCATAGGCTGGAGAGATGAATGACTCAGTGGTTGGTTAAGAGCACTTGGTTCTCTATTATAGAGGACAAGAGTTTGCTTCCCAGCACTCACTTCAGGCAGCTCATAACTGTCTGTACTTTAGATCTAACACCCTCTCCTGGTAGTATACCCATAGACACACACACACACACACACACACACACACACACACACACAAAGCTGGGCAGTAGTGACACACGCCTTTAATCCCAGCACTTGGGAGGCAGAGGCAGGTGGATCTCTGTGAGTTTAAGGCCAGTCTGATCTACAGAAGGAGTTCCAGGATAGCCAGGGCTACACAGAGAAACTGTCTTGAAAACCCAAAACGAACCAACCATGAGCGGTTGAACTGGGAACTGTAAAGCCACTGTGCCTGAGATGAACAGCTCAAATGAAGCAGATTCTCCACACACACAGGGACCTGATACAGCAAAAGCAGAGAGACCTGATGGTGGGTTTTGTTTGCAAGTCTCAACATTAGTGGTGTTTTCCCTGTCTCTCAGTGCCCACTCAGCCTCACCGAGAATTCTGGGAAGCTGCTTTCCTGAAGGCCACAGGTAGTTGCAGCAGGGTCCTGTCAGAGAGAAGCCAATGTTCAGAGCAGCCTATTCTCATTCTAGGCTGTCATTCTTACTCTTGGCTCAGAACCAATTAGGGTGAATCTCCTCAACCCCTCTCCTTAACAGTCTAATTGTCAGACAAACATCTTGAAAATGGCTTCTGGAGTAGCATGAGTAATGGCCCAGTCCAGAGAGAAGACAGGGCATCCCGCACCAAGAGCACATCCCAAGCCCTGCAGAGGCCATCTAAAGCCCAGGGTCTGTCAGGCTCCAGAATGACAAGCCTGATGCCATCCCAACCCGACCAGCTGTTCTACTCTGCCTGCTGCACTGCATGACCCTTAAGGGCGGTATAGCTCGATGCCCTGCTAAAATCTGAACAGATAGGGAAGGCAGTTTCTCCAGGGAAGTCTGGGACACTTACCCCTTCTCTTTTAGTGTGAAGAGTTCTGTGGAAGGAGGAACAGCTCCCGGGGCCATTTGTTGGCCCCTGAGGCCTGGTCCAGACCCGGTAACTTGGGCTTCTGTTCTCTCTTGGGTCCTATCTCCCCTTGACCGACGTCTGCACTCTGGATCTGCACTCCGGGAAGGTACTGTGGCCCGTTGTACACCCTTGGTGGATCTTGCACCTGATGCAAGGCTGCTAGCCTGGCTGGGAGCCTGGGAATGCGCAGGGGCAGTGGCACCAGAAGTGGCTGCATTAGATGCAGATGCCAGGCTGGGAGTTCTGTCTCTCTGTCGAGCCTTAGACACGACTTTCCTCACTCGTACAGCCTTCTCCAGTGCCTGGGTCAGAAGCTCCAGCTCTTTGAGGTCTTGAGCATTCGGTGTGCATGCTATGAAAGTCAAGTACCATGTAAAGTTCCTTTACATTGTCCCCCATGTCAACATGCCAGAGAAAAGCCAGGGGGCAGCACGCAGAAAAAGCAGTTGAGATTTACCTGGAGTTGCGGCCTCTTCCTTGGTTTCTGGCTCCGGAGCTGGGGTTCTGGCTGGTTCCCTGCAAGGACAGGGCAGCCATGGCATAGCCCAAACAGACCTTTCCCCTAAGCAGATTCTCAGCCCCAGACCCTGCAGGATAAGGGAGAGGGATAGCAATGGCAACCGGCCTCCTAAGTGGGCAGTTGACTTGGTCTCCCAGTCCCCGGGGCTCTGCATAAAGGGTCCGAGGAGAGCCTGGCCAGGAAGTCCCAAGGTCCGCGTACCAGACCTGCAGCAGCCTCCTGGAAACGCGCAGGCTCCGCTCCAACTGCCGCTGCCGATGAGCGCAGGCGTCCAGGGCGCCCTGCATCTCCGCCACTAGCCTGAGGACAAGCACCTATGAGAGCCTCGGAACCCCGCGCCCGCCCGCCCCATTCCCTCCGGCCGCACGAGACCCACCGGCGCGCGCAGTCCGTGGGTAGTAGGCAGTCTACTTTAGCTCCAAGCATTTTTGCCGCCACCACGGAGTCCGCACCTTCCGGGTAGAAATCCGCCCACTTCCGGCTAGGCTACCCAATCCTGAGCGAAGCGATCAAGACCTGCTGCTTAGTGCGAATCCACCAAATTAACCAGGCTCCGCCCTAATCCCGCCTCCCGAGGCTCTGTTGGGCTCTGGATAACCACGCCAGGGTAGATAAGACTAGCTCGCTTCCGGTTTGGGTAACCAGATAATGCTCTTCTGGTAGGATATCCATGACTCTCTAATGTTTGGTTTTCTGTCTTAACCAGTTTTTGTCGCACATACATTGAAAGCAAAGGTTAAACTGGCTTGCTGACCCCAGGGTCACTTAGCAGTCAAGCATATGGAAGAAAGATGATGTTTTAGAAATGGGCCAGGGGAAAGGAAGCATGGGAATGAATTTCAGATAGGTGCCAGAACAGAGAGCAACGAAGCCCGGGAAGTCTGGAACATTTGACATCTAGATGGGTCGGCCAATCTGGCCTAAGTCATGGTAGGCTGCGAAAGGGTCAGATGAGTGACAGTTACTAGGAGGGGAGGCTGAGGCCCAGATATTGGTGGAGGTGGTTAGGAACAGCAGGTGGCAGACCATCCGTACAGCTAAGGCCCAGCAATGGTCTTTGCCCAGTCAGGTCAACTTTCAGTTAGTGTTTTTCTTTTCCAGTTTTTTGAGGCAGGGTTTCTCTGTGGCTTTGGAGCCTGCTCTGTAGACCAGGCTGGCCTCGAACTCACAGAGACCTGCCTGCCTCCTGAGAGTGCTGGGATTAAAGGTCACTACCGCCTGGCTCACTTAATGTTTCATAAACCTATTCAGTGCCGTCTACTCCATTAGTGCATTTCATTTGAAAGCTCGCTATGTACACTAGGCTGGTCTTGAAATTACAGAGATCTGCCTGTCTCCCAAATCTTGCTAATTTCTTTATATTCTCAAATATATATATATATATATATATATATATATATATATATATTTGAGATATATATATCATATATATATATATATTTGAGAATATATATATCCTCAATTAAGGCAGAATCTATGTGAAGCAGGATCTCATGTAGCCTAAACTGGCCTTGAGTTTACTAGCTGAGGAAGACCTTGAACTCATGATCTTCCTGTCTTCACCTCACTTTTCTTTTTTTTAAACTAAACAACTTTTTATCAGCCAGGTAGTGGTGGTGAATGCCTTTAATCCCAGCATTTGGGAGGCAGAGGCAGAGGTGGGTGGATCTCTATGATTTCCAGGTCAGCCAGAGCTGTTACAGAGAAAGCCTGTTTTGAGAAACAAACACTTTTTATGTGTATGTGTACAGTCTGCACGCCTAGTGCCCATGGAGCCCAGAAGAGGGAATTGGATCTCCTGGAACTAGAGTCGTGGATAGTTAAGAGCCACCATGTGGGTGTGGGAATTTGAATCCAGGTCCTTCTGGAAGACCAGCAGATGCTCCTAATCAATGAGCCACCTGCCCAGTCCCCTTCTTCTATCTCTTAAGTGCTAAAATTGTAGAAGTATGCCTCTAGAAGTAGCTTTTAGATTTGTTTCTGAAGTTTAAAATGTGGTTGGTTGCTGGAAGAAGTGAGGTCAGGAATAGTGCCTGGAGTTAATAAAACGACTAATCCAAGAGGTAAGGCAACTATAGTTGCTTAGGTGTGAAGGTACAGGGAACAAAATGAAATTGTGAGCCCTGTATGTCAAGCAAAGGGTTAAGAGACTAGGTACAGGCATGGCTACTTCCAACTGGACTCTAGCAGCCCAGAAAACTTGACTTGTGTAGAGTAAGACCTCATAAAATCGGAAGTGGCCAGGAGTGTGCCCCTACAGGTTCATGGTAGTGAGTGGAGATTTTAAAAATCCTTAGATTGATTTTATGTGTGTGGTCAGTATGTATGTGTACAAATGTTGCTGCAGAGGTCAGATACCCTGGACTGGAATTTATGGTGGTTGTGAACCACCACGTGGGTGCTGGGAACCAAAACCAGGTCCTCTCCATGAGTAACAGGTGCTCTTAGAGAGAACCAACTCTGCAGCCCCAGTGAGCTGGGATTTTGACCAGGGTTATCATGGACAAGGTGGGAGGCAGTTATGGGAATGCAAATCGCTCATGTCATGAATCTCTTCACATTTAATCCTCACAACGTTGCTGTGAGGTAGGTATTACTGTCCCTTCTCACAGCTGAGGAAACATGCTCACACGTGCCCAGGTGAACACAATCGTGTAGGACTACAATCCAAGTGCTTGGGCTCTCCTTACACCAATGTGTACTAACCAGAGTGGTCAGAATTCTGTTAAAGGAGACAGAAGTTATACATGTCGGGTCAGTGTGTCTGCTCTGCCTTCAGCACTCCTCAGGTGGTAGGCCTGCTGCTTCAGACCCAAGGCCTTCCACACGAAGTAGACTCTCGAAGTCTCCGGCCAGCACAAAAGGGCTGGTAATCTGCTTTCTTCTTCCAGAGGAATCCAGCCATGAACCCGGTGAGTCTGGTGACCTGCTTTCTTCTGGTGGAATCCAGCGTTTTTGTTAATTTCATTATTACAAATGATTGTTTATGGCTATCCTCTACAAAGGTTCATTTTTCATAAGGAAAGAACACAAGAATAGAACCGAGAGGCTGCTATCAGTTTCCTTTTTCTGAGGCCAGACAGCCCAGCCCAGACTGACCTGGGGCTTCTGGTATGTCCCCACATACTTCTGGCAGCTGACATTGCCATGATGAGCCACCAAAGGCAACTAGATCTTTTTTCATTTGAAGCTCAGCAATGTTGGAAATCTGTTATCTTTTTATTTGATATCCTCTATTTCAAATGTTCCCCCCCTTTCATTAGAAGAAACCTAGAAATAAAGATGGGGGAATAATGGCCTAGAAGTTCAGTGCAGAAAGATGGCCACATGGATACAATGGGACACAGACAAACCACTCTGAGAGGACAGATTTTGAAAGTGAGCTCAAAGTGCCAGAGAGAGAGGAACCTTTAGCCTCAGCTTCAAGGTCCTCACAGCTGACTATGAGGCTGTAGGCAACACTGATGAGCAGGGACACAGGCTTCCTAGGTTGAAGGGGACAGTGATGTGTTCAGATGAGACTTCCCTACTGACCTAAAACAAGACATGCAGCAGGGGGTTAACTGTGTTAGGCACTAGTATTCCAAGGAAGCTGTCAGCTCCTGGCCTGTGACTGTGAATGCCAACACAGAGGCTCATGCTCCCAGAGCCAGCAGGACACAGAAGGGTAGAGATGGGTTCCACGGGTGTGGCATGACTGCTGTGAGGCTGTTGACCAGAAGAGGCTGAGCCTTTCACTGATGTTCTAGGGGCTCACACTGAACTCCCCTTCTGGGGTCTATATAGCACCTGCCTGCAATGTCCTAGAGAAACAGCAGACCTCCCCAGTAAACAGTAAACATTTCACCATGGCCAACACTAACGTACTCAGAGCTTCAGGAAGCCTAAGTTCGTGTCCTCGTCACTGTGCACTGACAGGTTTTGGCGCTTTACCCGTTGCTGGTGAACACCGCTCTCTGGGGGATTTGGAGGGCGACACTGTAAACATGACTTCTTGGCCTGATGGTGGCAAGGCTTTGTGTTTGAGTAGCTGCCCACAGACAGCACTGAGGTAGATCGGGGAGAGCCCCTCATGCCACCATCCAGGGAGCTTATGGGACTCAAGCTGCTGACGGAAGAGTATCCAGAGGTCGTGATGTCCTTGCCCAGATCTCCCCTGTTGCAGAGAAGGGGCCTGAGAGCTGGGGTTGGATGTGCCGCTTGGTGGCCCTTGTCCTCTGGCCAGGCCTCCTCATCACTGGACTCTTGGCAGCAGTGCTGTTCTGGGTTCATGTAGACCACAGTGACATCAAGGAGTCCACTGGGAGCTGTGACTGAAAAATTTGGGGGGAGGGTCTTTATGATACAGCTCAAGTTATCAGAAGTGACCCTACACCTGCTCAGGACTGGGTGGCCCCGGCTATTACTTAGGTGAGAGCCATGAGTGACCTTGCTTCTCTCAAGCTGGGAGGATTGCCCCAACAACGCTAAGTGCAGCAGAAGGTGGCTGGTCACCTAAATGGCTTACTCTGCGCAGTCACAAAAGCAAGCAATTGGAAAAGCAGCCGAAACGTGTCTAAGTCAGTCCTCCTGGCCAGAAAACGAGGGACAGAATCTCCTGCAGTTTACACGCACACACATGGCAAGTGTTCTATAAACCAGAACTCCAGACGGGTTTGTTTAAGTAAGGCCCTTCAACCAGAAATGACCCAGCCAGAGATGGTTACAGGCTTAGACTACATCCTCTCCCTCTGTGGGGTGGTAAAAACCCTTAACCCCAGGGTGTGATGTTCATATGCTTCTCTCCTCAGCACAATGCCAGGTGGCCCTCAGATCACATGCCATCTGCACAATCCATCCCTCCATCACCACTCACCGTCACCCTCCTTCTCTCCTTCACTCTCCTGGTCTCCTTCATAGCCAGAGCAGCAGTCCAGGCTCCAATCCAGCAGGCTGCCCAGCAGTGTCTCCTCCTGGCTAGACAGCTCTGCTGTGGGCGTGGTGACAAAGCTGCCCCTGTCCTCTTGAAGGCTGTTCTCCCGCTTCCTGCAAAGTAAGGAGAGTCCAGGAAGATCTGGTCAGAAGTGGCAGCATCTATGGAGCCAACCTGATCCTTCTCATCTGCCTTAGTGCCTATATGCCCCTTGTCCTCACCTTGTGTTCTGGAAAACACCCATGAAGCTAGAGTAGGTCTGAGCCCTCCAGGGCAGGGAATTAATTGGATGAAGAACTGGGCAAGAACTAGGCCCCAGTCTAGGAGTGAATTCTGGCTTATTTTGGTCAGCCTGGGGCCCAAGGCCTCTCTGGTAACTGGACAGAAGACCCTACCACTCTGGAGGGTACTAGATGCACCAAATAGGGGCAATGCTGGGCCTGTCTGCACAGAGCAGTCTGTCTTTAGAGGAGCCAGTGACTCACCCCTGGAAGGTACAGGTGTCTGCCTAAGATTTCCCCAAGGGTAACTGTTCCTGGATAGAGAAGAGTCCCTAATGCAGAATAAAATGTACACAGTGGCCCTCTCAGGAGGACCCATGTCTCCCTCATTCCACATGGAGGGAGATGCTGTGGTGTTTCTTTTGTGCCAAGCTTGAAAGGAGGTCAACCCCTGACATTGCTGTCTTCTCAGCTCCCAAGAGGCTAGAGTCTGAAGCCAGGGTCTCCTCGCACCACAGAACACTCATGGCTCAGATGATACCATCCAGGAGCACAGGAGCACACAGGGTGCTGAAGAGTCACAAAGACAGGGCAGAGGGAACCTGCCCCCTGGGCTTTTCAGGATTAACAAACAGTTCAGTGGGTGAGGTAGAGTTATTCTAGGAGGTGTAGTCACTTGCCAGTGTGTGTGATGGGGATAGATAGTATACATAGCAAAGGGAGGAGACAAGGGGGTGGCAACAAAGACATTATTCAGATTAAACCCAGCTCCCAGTGTGCCATATAATGGAGCAGCAGAGACAAGGTGAATGATGGTGTAGACGAGGAAAGAACCTGAACAGGATCTACCGTGTGCAGGACCATCTTCCCTCACAGGGAGCAGGCACAAAACAAGACAGTGACTTCTGAAACCCCTGGGTTAAACTTGGGATCTGCTGTTCCTTGGCACAAACTTAGGACACGTATAAAAATGATTGCAATGTCAAGGAGGAAACTCAGAAGACCTGACACACAAGAGAGCATGCCATGGTATGACTGCAGATGGACGGTACAGACTTACCGTTTGTTTCTCCTCCCAGACGGTGAGCTGAGGAAGGTGTGGATTTCCCCTGTGCTCGGGAAAGATGAGGGCTCTGGGCTCTCCTGTTTCACTCCTAGTGCAGTGCACAATTCTGCATAGCTCAGCACCTACAAGGAGGCCAGAGTGAAGAACCCCAAACCTACTCAGGGAATTCCACCAGGAGCCTAAGAGGCAAAGGAGAACATACCTCTTCCTGGCTGATCTCGTCATAGCACTTATCCTCAAAGCGCTGCTTCACAGCGGTCAGAGACACTTGTCTGTAGTCCTTGGGTGCATCATCATGGAAACTGCAAACAGACAGAGGTTGATATATGAACCTCACTAGTCTCACTCTACCACCTGAGAGGACAGCAAGCTTTCAGGACCAGCAATCCCATTGACGAGGACACACCACAGTGAAGACTGGCAGCTCCTTGGCTAGTTTCCCAAGAGAAAGAGAAACAAGTACCCAAAGAACTTGCACAAGAATGTTTATTGCAGTCAGAGGTAGAAACAACTCACATGGTCAGACAGACAGAGGTCTATTCAAACAGTGACACTCACTCAAGCACTGACACAAAAGGCAGTATGAACCTGAAACAGGATGCTCAGTGGGAGAAGCCAGACTCACAAAGTGGCATATTCATGAGACTACCTCACATGCAATGTCTAGAATGGGCAAAGCCACACATGGAGAACAATGAATGGATGCTGGGGTCAAAGAAGTTGGGAAATAGTAAGTGATGGCTGAAGAGTGGGGTTTCTTTTCTTTCTTTTTTGTTTTGTCTTTCGAGGCAGGGTTCTCTGTGTAGCCCTGGCTGTCCTTCAGAAATCCACCTGCTTCTGCCTCCCCAGTGCTGGGATTAAAGACATGCACTACCACCCAGCTGAAGTGGGGAATTCTTTTGAGGGTTAGTAAAAATGTTCTAAAATGGGTTGTACAATTCTGAATATACTAAAAGCCTTTTTTTTTTTAAAGATTTTATTTATGTATTTATTTTGTATACAACATTCTGCTTTCACGCATATCTGCACACCAGAAGAGGGCACCAGATCTCATAATGGATGGTTGTGACCCACCATGTGGTTGCTGGGAATTGAACTCAGGACCTCTGGGAGAGCAGTCAGTGCTCTTAACCTCTGAGCCATCTCTCCAGCCCAAAGCCTTTTAAGTTACACAACTTTTAAAAACTTGCCCCAGCACTCAGGAGGCAGAAGCAAATGTATCTTTGTGAATTTTGAGGCCAGCCTGGTCTACAGAGCTAGTTCCAGGATAGCCAGAACTACACAGAGAAACCCTGTCTAGAAAAACCAACCAACCAACCAACCAAACAAACAAAAAACTTAGTTTATAAATAAATGCCTCCAACTTAACTGGTTTAAAAACAACAGCAAAATAACTGGAGATACATGTTAGCATACACAAACACCCTTTTGTATTTTTGTTTTGTTGCTAAAGACTGTTTATTTGAAGAAAAACAACTTCTAGTTGCCAGCCTCAGATAACAACCAGTACAAGAAAAGGTGGAGGGCAGAGACACCGACTGTTACAGTTATCCTGTTTCCTCAGCCACCAACTACATGGTCTGGGCACCACAGGAAAAAACAATGTAGGCAAAAGCATAATACTGACAGGTCCCAATCAGTGGAGCCTAGTGGAGAGGCAGGACAAAGGATGCGCTGGTCAGAGGCATTGTGGGTTATTCCAGAGGGCTCTGACTTCACCCCGGAAGCCAAGAGCGATGCTCTGGGCTGAGGCAAAAACATGCTATATATATAAGGGGGCAGTCCAAGCCATGAAGGCCAGCTCTCAAGGCATGTGAATATATGTAAGGAAAGGACAGGCACTGGAGCCAGAAACCACTAGGTTGTATAGATGACGGAGAAGCAGTCAATACTACCAACAGAAGGTACACTCAGCCAGAGCAGAGGACAGCAGCTCAGACATACAAGCAAGGTAGTCTGGACCCCAACCTGAAATGTGGATGTGCTTCCTTCAGGGGACCCTGGCCTCACCCAGGTACCGTTTTAAATCCCTACCCGTTCTCCCCACCCTGTTTCTTTAAAATGACTGATTTATTCTTATATGTAAGGGTGTTTCGCCTGCATTGTGACACATGTATAATTGGTGCCCATGGAGGCCAGAAGACAGCCTGGGAAATAAGATACAGATGGTTGTGAGCCTCCAAGTGGGTGCTAAGAACTGAACCCAGGTCCTTCGGAAGAGCACTGAATGCTCTTAACCACTGAGCCATCTCTCCAGCTCCACCTACTGCCCACTCCCATCTTTCTATAGACTCGTCACTACCTGAAAACCCTGTACAGACTGTGTTATTCTGTTCTGGTCTTTTTCCTTCTTTCTTTTTTTAACGTGACACAATATATTCTGGTCATGGTTTCCCCTCCCCCATCTTCTCCCCAACTAGCAAGCTACCCAACTCTTAGCCTTCTTATTCTCTCTTTAGAAAACAAACAGGCATGTTAAAAAAACAAAACAAAAACCAAACAAGCAAACCAGAGTAAAAAACAAACAAAAAAAACTTTAAAACACACACACACACACACACACACACACACACACACACACCCATAAAAACACAAAATCAAAAACCATGATAAAAGACCAGTTGGGCAGTGGTTGTGCACGCCTTCAATCCCAGCACTCAGGAGGCAGAGGCAGGCAGATCTCTGTGAGTTCGAGGCCAGCCTGGTCTCCAGAGCAAGTGACAGGATAGGCTCCAAAGCTACACAGAGAAACCCTGTCTCGAAAAACTAAAAACACACAACAACAAAAGACCAGTAAGACAAAAAAAAAAAAAAAAACACCAATCAATCAATCAATACCTGACAAAACCAAAACAAAAGAAAACATGAAGTTCATTTTGTGTTGGCATCTACTGCTGGGCACGGGGCCTAAGCTTAATGTGGTTTGCATACACTGTGAGATTCCATTACAGTAAACTCTTTTTTCCTAACTACCCAGAAAAGGTCCCGTGAGGTGAACAAACGGCCCGGACAGAGTGGCAGTGACGGTGGGAGGCTGCGGAGATGAACGGTGGGTGCAGACAGGCACAGGCAAGGACTGTTGGGGTCATTCCTTGTCTGCTGGCTTCCTCTTCCTCAAGAATGCAGATTCTATGTGAATATAGAAATAAGTCCAGACCCAGGCTTTTAAAACCCCAACCTGGGGCTGACAAGACAGCTCAGTGGGTAGCTACAGGAGCCCAAAGAGCTGAGTCCAGTTCACCCACAAACAGGTGGAAAGAAAGAACTGACTGTAGGGCCTGGAGAGATGGTTCAGAGGTTAAGAACACTAGCTGCTCTTCCAGAGATCCTGAGTTCAATTCCCAACAATCACATGCAGGCTCACAACTATCTGTAATGAGATCGGTGCCCTCTTCTGGCCTGCAGGGATACATGCATGCAGAACACTGTATACATTAATAAATAAATAAATGTTAAAAAGAACTGACTGTACAAAGTTGTGCTGAGACTTCCACATGCACACGGTGGCACATGTGATCACACATCCTATAACAAATACAACAATAGTTGGAACTCTGACAAGCAGCTCAGGTTGACCAACAACCCTGCAACTGAGCTCTCTCCATCGAGGAGAGACTGCAAGTGTAGACTTGGACTCACCACTTTTTATGAAGGCTCAAGACGCAGGGCGTGAGGTCGTTGTAAGAGAACCCAGTGATGTCCCACAGATGAGTGGTCCAGGGCTGTACTGGGGAAGAAAGAAGGCCGGAAATGTGACAGTGCCCTCAATTTCTACAACTCTGTTAGTTTGATATCATATTCCCTGACTCAGGCTTTTAGTTTCTTCAAAATACCCTTAAGTAAGATGGCTCAGTGGGCAAAGGCACTTGTCACCAAGCCTAATGACCTAGAATAGATTCCTAGAAGCCAGGCACATGGTAGAAGGAGAAAACTAACTCATTCATACTCTGATGGCCACAATCACACCATGGCATTGTGTGTGCACACATTTGCACATATAAGTTAAATATAAATGTGAAAAACAAAAGAAAACAACTAAACTAAAACATCCTTGAAAAGCTCCATATAAGGTCCACACACTGCTGAAAAACTATATGCTGCTTCAGCAGAAAGCACCTCATTCCCCCTCCCCACAACTGTTTTGGGGCCATTCTGCTGCTCTTTTTTTCTCCGGGATGGATGAGGAAGTATTTATTTCTGCCCTTCCAACCTCTCCTGTCAGAGGACTTTCCCAGGCACCAGGAAACTGTTCCCCCACACCCCAGGAGGGCTTCTTCTTACTCTGTCCATGCATCAGTCTGGCCAGGAGCAGGGCTGCTGAGGCCAGGCGGGCTGGAGCGTAGATGGACAGGCTGGTGTGCAGCAGGGAGAGCTCACAGAGAAAGCTGCACAGGTGTTGGGTTCTGGATGCAACAGGGACCAGTGTCAGCAGGACCTCTTTATAATCAACCACCGTAGGGACCTAGACAGAAGAGGGAAGTTGATACCATGACTCATCCGTTAGTGTCACACTGAGGCACAGCCGGATGGGTCTGGTGTCTAGATGTTCAAGCTGAAGCCCGAGCTCAGGGTTTCAGTGCACATCATGACGCACTGCGGCCATGGCTTCTATGTGTTCTCTCCATAGCTGATGGCAGCAGCTCTCCCACCCCACTCCCTGTGACCTCAAACAGGAAGCTTATTTTGTTCAAAGGAAAAGCCAAAGCCCTACTTACTCGAATCTTCCCTTCCAGTGCAGAGACGATCTCTCCCATCATTCGTACCAAGTCCTCGTACTTGTATGTGTTGTCTGTGAGCCACACAGCCTCTCTAATGGTCAGAATCTCTTTGCTGATGAACCTGGAATGTGGAGATGGGGGTCTCAGCTCTGAGGGGCTACATCTCAGGAAGCCTCTGGGAGGCTGCACATGGCTTCAGCTGCCTTTGACTAAGCGTCAGAGGTGCCACAAAGAGGGAGCAAACACACAAACCACGCAGGAAAGGCATGGCTGCAGAGCAGGTATAAACATCCACGAAACTGTCAGGTCCCAAAGAGACCTGCAACAAGTCTCCCTGAGTACCTATGGTTCCTCCCAGCACTTCTCGCCCCATCCCCTACCCTGAAGGCTTAGATTCCCTCCCCCCACCTTCTGATCCTTACACAACTCAAGACCCTTTAGCTACACACCCTCTTTGTGTTCTCCCTCTCTCTCTATTCTGTTTCCGGGCCACTCTTGATCTCTCCTTTACTCTCATGGCCTGGTTTATTCTGCTGGCCGTGTTCACCCTGGACTCTTCCAGATGCCTCTGGCTGTCCTCTCCCTCATAGCTAAAATAAAGCCCTTCTCAACCATACTCAGGAGTGGTTATATTCCCATCTTCATTCAAAAAGGACCTATGAGTGACACTATAATTCTCTAATTCTGCTTACAACCTTATGGACGAGAGCCTTTTTTGTTTTTGTTTGGTCAAGCTGTAGTTCAAACCCAGACACTAAATGACCACTTGAACTCTGACAGCTCCTGATCTTATGACAGTATCTTGAGTATAAACAATGCAAATGCAAAAGTAGGTGAGCTACTGGGAGCAGGAATTGGAAGCAAAGGGCCTAGAGGTTGTTTGAAGGTCTACACACAGCTCAGTGTTTGGCCACAGAAATCCTGACTGTCCCTGAAGCAAGTGGGCACCCTGTTCTCTACTGGGCACAGGTGGTAACTAGAAGGAACACTCTGCTCCAGTGGTCCCACAAGCACCTCCCCAGCAAATGTGGACTGTTGCTCAATCTTGGCACTCTGCAGTATGAATCATTGCCATTTGGCCTAACAGAGGGGTCAGGAGGCAGAAGGCCACAGACACTAAAAAGAGGGATGTAAATGGGCTGATAAGAGCCCTGCGCTGGGCCCTGAGGCGATCAATGACAAGCAGAGGCAACAGAGGCTCTGAGAGCAAAGCCAGGGCACCTCAGCCTGCTGCGGGTGGGGGTGGGGGTTAGACCAAGGCTTCACATGTTCCAGATCCAACTGCCCTAACTCCCAAGTGCTGGGGTTAAAGGTGTGTACCATCATGCCCAGTCTTCAGCTTGAAACATTTTTTTAAAAAGATTTATTATATATACAGTGTTCTGCTGCATGTATGCTTGCAGGCCACAAGAGTGCACCAGATCTCAATTTGGATGGTTGTGAGCCACCATGTGGTTGCTGGAAATTAAACTCTTAACCTCTGAGCCATCTTTGCAGCTCCCCCCACCCCATTTAAAACATTTTAAAGCGGTAATTTTTCTGCTGTTTATGGTCCTAGGGCTCTGAAGATGTAACTATGCTGTTAGGTACATGTAGATGGCAGCCCCACCATTTGGTGACTTATCAGAAGACCTGGGGCGTGAGATTTAGGTCAAAGAGCCTATATGAAAAAGGCTTGGGGTATGGCAGGGTCAGCTTGCTATCCCTGAAGTCTATGAGTCCTCCTTTGGTGGTAATATGACCAGGCTTCTTTGGCATACAGACACCCAAAGGTATTACAGTATCCAGTGTGGTTAGCTATGACCACAGAAACAAGGACAACCCATGGAGCTTAGAAGACAGCAAGATGTGAGTTAGGGCTGCTTCATGTCTTCATAGCACAAAACCCCATCCCAGTAGCCTTGGGCGCTCTACCAGCTGCAGGTTCAGATATGTGTCAGTTTGACACAAGATAGGGTCATATAGGAAGGAGAAATCTTTCTGGACATCGATTTACAGGTAAGTCTGTAGGGCATTTTCTTGATGATGATTGATATGGGAGGGCCCAGCTCACTGTAGTGGTGAGGCCCCTAGGCTGATGGTCCTGGGTGCTACAAGAGAGCAAGTCATGAGGAGCAAGCCAGCAAGCAGCACCCCTCCATAGCCTCTGCATTAGGTGTGTGTGTGTGTGTGTGTGTGTGTGTGTATGTGTGTGTGTGTGTATGTGTGTATGTGTGTATGTGTGTGTGTCTGTCCCTGGCTGTCCTGGAACTTGCTTTGTAGACCAGGCTAGCCTTGAACTCACAGAGATCTGCCTGGCTCTGCCTCTTGAGTGCTGGAATTAAAGACCATGCCCAGCTTCTCTGCATCAATTCTTACCTCCATACCTGACTTCCCTCAGTGTAAGCTGAAAGAACCCTTTCCCCACCAAGTTGCTTTTGGTCATGTGTTTGATCAGAGCAATAGAAACTGGAAATAAGGGAGTTCTCAAGAAAACATAGGAAGTAGCAGCAATGCTACTCTTTACCCCTCAGGCCCAATAGACAAGGAGAAGGTCTGGAATGCATGTCCTAGGGGAAATGATAGACCATGTTGGGGACATTTGGTTTAGGAGAGTAAGAAAAGGCAAACCTCATTCTGAAAAAATGCTTTCCACATCACTTCCAGAGGCAAAACCAGGGTAGATGAAGCACTAACTGAGGACAGTTTGAGATAAAATATAGAGTGGCACAATCTAAAGAGTCAGATCATGCCTCCTCTGAGTGACATCCTTGTGGAGGAATAGCTCTGATGGGCTTTGTTGTCAGACTGGAGACACTCCTGCCCAGGACTATGGGAACCGATGATAAAGACTTGGGAATTCAATCTCAGTGGCAGTTCTGTGAACTCTGAGGACTGAGGAGGAGGGTAAGAGGGAACCACTGTCATCCTTCTTGGCAACTGTCACCCTTTGGCTCTTGGGAAAGTGTGGTCTAGCTTAGGCCCTCTCAGGTCCGTGCTCTGAGTCCTGAGACTGTGTTAGGAAACAGGCCCCCAGCAGAGGGAGACAACCTACAAAGGGTCCTCTGCCACCACTCCCTTGCAAAGGATACTGGGATTGGAAAATGCACAACTAAACCAGGTGGGACCCTTAAGACTCATTTTCCTTAAAAATTAGCTACCAGGCTGGGCATTGGTAGCACACGCCTTTAATCCCAGCACTTAGGAGGCAGAGGCAGGTGGATCGTGGGAGGCCAGCCTGGTCTACAGAGTGAGTTCCAGGATAGGCTCTAAAACAATACAGAGAAACCCTGTCTCGGAAAAAACAAAAACAAAAACAAAAACCAACCAACCAAACAACAAACAACAAACAAACAAACAAACAAAAAACCCAAAAAATCAGCTCCCAGAAGGGGAGGATGGTGGTCCCTGTACCTAGGAGGGACCAGCGCACATGCACATGGCCCTGCCAGTTTGGCCAAGGGGCTTCTCACCGAGTACAGATGACCATGCAGGCAATACCCAGAAGCTGGAGCTTGTATCGGGGTACCAGTCTCCTCTGCAAGTACCGGTCTACACACTCCACCGTCAGGTGGAGACACAGGCTTGTGAAGTCCTTCATTGTGGCAACTTCTACCAACCAGTCAATTAGAATGTATCTGTGGAGAGAGGGCCACCTGTGAAAACTAGGACAAGTATCACACCTTCAATTTCTGCCCAAGTCTGTCCAGCTTAAGCAAATAAGTGATCACTTTGGAATCACCAGCTTACCAACCTAGACTCCAGGTCCCAGGGAGTTGGGGAGGCCCACACAGCTACCCCTGGGAGCCTGGTGGGTCCCCACTTCTGCACCCTGCCTCCCTCCCCACCAGCAGTGCTCACAAATCCAAGTCAGCCCAAAGTCAGCAAAGCACTGGCTGGGCTCAGTCCTCTCAGTGCAAATAGGCAGTAGGCACAAAATGGGCTGCACAGCAGGGCTGGGGAAGGATGACCACTCTGAGGACTAGAAACAGTTTCGGTCACTCTGCACCACCAGGCTCTCTGTCTGGGCTCTTATAACAGTGTTCTGCAGAGGTCAAAGAGCCAGGAATGCCACTTAAAGCAAGAGCCCCTCAGTCCCTACACCGGTCTGCCTAGTTCCTTCATCCAGCACCCTAGATGGATGCCCAGACACCAGAAGGCTGACAGAAGCATCCCTCTCTACCAGGGAGTTAAAACCTGGGGACCAAGACCATAAATAATCACAGGAGGTATCTGGAAGACAGAAGGCAACTTTTGGGAATTGGTCCTCTCCTTCCACTGTGTGGGTCCTAGGAACTGAACTTGGGTTTTCAGGTTTGACAGCAAGCACCTCTGCCTGAAGAGCCACCCACCTCGTTGACCCCACTGATCTGTTTTTAGAAATCAGATTATTGGGCTATCAAGAGTACTGGGGCACTGGGCGTTGGGAGGCAGAGGCAGGTGGATCTCTTTGAGTTCAAGACCAGCTTGGTCTACAAAAGCTAGTTCCAGGACAGCCTCCAAAGCCACAGAGAAACCCTGTCTCGAACCCCCCCCCCAAAAAAAAAGAGTGCTGGGGCCAAGTGGTGGTGGCACACGCCTTTCATCCCAGCACTCAGGAGGCAGAGGCAGGTGGGTCTCTGTGAGTTTGAGGCCAGCCTGGTCTACAGGGCAGTTCCAGGACAGCTAATGCTACACAGAGTTCTGAGGTTAAAGGGTCTTTTACTGGTACCCAGGGCTTCCAAATTAGACTAGGTTGGATGGGCACAGAATCCCAAGGAGCCACCCATCTCTACTTCCTCAGTGTCAGGACTATAAGCATGTGCCATTATTTTCATTCCCCACTCCCCTCCAAGTACTGGGTATCAAACTCAAGTCTTTATTCTTGAGCAGCAAGTAAATTATTCAATGAGGTTATCTCCCTGGCCCCAACACAATAATTAAAAAAAAAAACAATTATTGGGCATATATATACATATACATACACACACACACACACACACACATATATATATATACATACATATATATATATATATACATATATATATATATATGTTCCAAGAAGTACCTACAAGGAGCCAGGTTTCCCATCAGAAATCCAATTTTTTTTTGAAATTTCAGAGAAAAGCTTAAAAACTCACTCACATTTTCCATTTTACCCTCTAACATTCTGCAGTTTTGTGTTACCACTAGTGTTTGGAGCCTGGAAGAAAGGCAATTGTGCCGGTGACACAGTACTTGCCCCTTGAAGGGATGTCCAGGATAGGGGATGGGGTGGGAGGACAACAGCTCTCTAGGTCTGATTACTAGTCACTAAGCGGCACAAAATGTACTGATGATTATAAAGAGAGCTGTAAAGAAAAGGTTATAGGGTTGGAGCTTAGCGGTGATTCATTATGAATAAGATGCTGAGTTCAGAATACAGGCCCTCTTCTATCAAAAAAAAAAAGGTTGTATTTTGGCTTCAGACACTAGAGATATGAGTCTTATTTTAGAAAGATGTTTAGAATAGTTTGTAACACACTATGTGGCTTTTAAAAAGACTTTAGTGGCTAACACTTCTACTCCCAGTACTCAGGAGGCCAAAGCGGGATAACCACAAGTTCAGGGTTAGCCTGGGCTACAGCAGGGCTGGGGAGATGGTTAAGTGCTTGATGAGCAAGTGTGAGCAGTAGCAATTGTATCCCCAGAACCCACGTAAATGCCAACTGTGTGTTAATTCCAGCTTTGGAAGCTGAGATGGGACCCTCAATGATCCAGTTAGCTAGAGTGACTGGTGAGCTCTGCTTTGCCTGAGAGACCCTGCCTTATTGAATAAGGCAGACGAGCAACGGAAGATTCACATCAACTTTGCATTTTGTGTGAACATGCACACATGTACTCCTATACACAGCAACGCACTCACACACACGAAAAGGGGTATGGGGAAAAGATTGCTCTGCCACCAGATCAAACAGAGCTCTTGAGGGGCTCACCTCATCGTATCGCTGAGCCCCTTCTGCACCGAGAAGACCCGCTGCTTGTTGACAGCCTGGGAAGCCTGGAAGAGCTGGCAGACTGTCTCATTGCAGGCTTTCCCTTCTAGTCCAAGCTGGCTTCCCCCTGCACAGGCTTTGGCCAAAGCCAGCTGCAGGACACAGAAGTGCAGTGTGAGCTTCTCCACTCAGAAGGCCTCAGCAGGTAGACAACACAGGGCACACATCTGCCTGCCCAAGTCTCTCTGCCTGGGACAGTAGCATGCTAAGACCCTAGGATGGGGACCTCTCCGCACCAGTTTCCCTTTCTATTTCCCTCTCCCAATCTCAGTTTCCCCTCCCTCCTCTCCTCCCATTACCTCCCACAGCACCCCCCACCCCAATCCACTCCTCCTCCGCTTCTGTACAGAAAGGGGAAGGCCTCTCAGGGAGATTAATAAAGCATGGCATATCAAGTTATAATCAGACTAAACACCTCCTCTTGTATTAAGGCTGGGAAATAAGGCCTAGTAAGTACGAGGAATAGCTTCCCAAAGGCCAGCCAAAGCATTAGGGACAGCTTATGCTCCCACTGTTAGGAGTCCTGTAAGTAGCCCAACTACACAATTGTCACATATGCGTGGAGGGCTTTTATCAGTCCCAAACAGGTTCCGTGGTTGTCAGTTCAGACTCTGTGAGGTCCTATAAGCCCAGGTTAGTTGATTCTGTGGGTTTTCTTGTGATGTCCTCGACCCCTCTGACTTGTACAATCTTTCCTCCCTCTCTTCAGCAGGATTCCCTGAGCTTGGCCTAACGTTTGTCTGTGGGTCTCTGCATCTGTTTCCATCAGTTACTGGATGAAGCCTCTCTGACGACAACTGGGGTGGGTACCAATGAGTTCTTTTTATTTTTTAAACTAATTATAAATATATAAATTAAAAATGTGTGTGTGTATTTTCCCTACATGTATGTCTGCACCACGTACAGGCCTAGTGCCCAAGGAGGCCTGAAGAAGGTGTCAGGTCCCCTTGAATTGGAGTTACACGTGATTTTGAGTGGATGTTGGGAAACAAACCAAGGTCGTCTTGGAGAGCAGTCATAGTCTTAACCACTGAGCATCTCTCCAGCCCCAACAGTTTCTTCTTTTATGAAATGGTACATTGATGGCCCTGGAGCCAACAGATGAGGATGGACTGAAATGCGTCAGAACTTAGGATATACTGTCTAGCACCCACCAAGATTTCAGATGGTCACTGTCAACAACTTTACAAACTTCCATCTGTTTTCCCAGGTACTTACAGCTTGGTGTATACATGTTTTCACAACCAGTTTATATGCATTTTTTCCACCTAGCAACACTATTAATTTTTCCAAGTCAACCTATATCTACTCTTCCATTTAGAGTGTTTCTGTTGACTCCTCTGTGGGCCATCCAATTCCCCACCTGCTGAGTCCACAGGACAGCTGCGGGGTTTTGTCTACACCTATTCAAAGGTCCATGATGACTGCTGACTTCATATCACTCATAGCAAACATTTCATTTATGTTACCTTCATTAGCAGAAAACACCATCATTAAAAATATCTTAGGTTAGAGAGATGGCTTAGTAGGTAAGAACATTGGCTGCTCTTTCAGGGGACCCAGATTCAATTCCCAGCACCCACATAATGGCTCAGAACTGTATGTAACTCCAGTTCCAGGGGACCTGATGCCCTCTTCTGGCCTTTCCAGACACCAGGAAGGTACAAGGATATACATGCAGGCAAAACACCCATATACATCATAAAAAACAAACAAACAAACAAACAAGCCTTGCAAGCATTATTAGCTATTGACTCAAAAACTGAGAGAAAATTAAATATAACACATTAATGAGATAAGCCCTAAATAGCTCATTTAAAAGTATAGCTCCAAATTTATAATCCTCCTGCCTCAGTCTCTTGAGGACTAGCATTAAGCCCCCATGCTTGGCAAATGTTACCCTTTTTAACCTGCTGTATTTTTTCCCTCTTTTCTGAGAATCTGAAGCCATCTGAACATCCCTCGGGATCTTACTACTCTTAAAATTTACTTATTACAATTATTATTTGTTGTGTATATGTATGTGTGATGGACAGTTTTATGTCAGCTTGACACAAGCTAAAGTCATCTGAAAAAAGGAACCTCAATTAAGAAAATGTCTCCATCAAAACAGACAAACAAACAAAAACCCAAAGAAAGAGAAAAGAAAATGCCTCCATAAGATCAGGCTGTAGAAGACAAGCTACTAGGGCAGTGGTTCTCAACCTTTCTAAAGGCTGTGACCCTTTAATACAGTTCTTCATGTTGTGGTGACCCCTAGACATAAAATTATTTTTGTTGCTACTTCATAACTATAATTTTGTTTTTGTTTTTCTTTTTTTTTGGTTTTTACGAGACAGGGTTTCTCTGTGGCTTTGGAGGTTGTCCTGGCACTAGCTCTTGTAGACCAGGCTGGTCTCGAACTCACAGAGATCCGCCTGCCTCTGCCTCCCAAGTGCTGGGATTAAAGGCGTGCACCACCAACACCCAGCCATAACTGTAATTTTGGTACTGTTATAAATCATAATGTAAATATTTTTGGAGATGGAGGATTTTTGGCAAAAGGAGTCAATCCGCAGGTTGAGAACTACTGCTCTGAGGCATTTTCTTAATTAGTGAAGACGGGGGAGGGCCCAGGGCCCAGCCCAATGTGGGTGATGCCATCCCTGGGCTAGCAGTCCTGGGTTCTATCAGAAAGCAGGTTGAGCAAGCCACGATAGACAAGACAGTAAGCAGCACTCCTCCATGGCCTCTGTAGCCCAGCTCCTGCCTCCAGGTTCCTACCCTGTTTTGTTCCTGTTCTGACTCCCTTCAATCATGGACTACAGCATGGAAGTGTAAGCCAAATAAACCTTTGCTCCCCAGCTTGCTTTCGGTCATGTGTTTCATAGCAACAGTGGTTACCCTACTGCTGTTGGTGTGTGTGTGTGTGTGTGTGTGTGTGTATGTGTGTGTGTGTGTGCCATGGTGTGCATGTGGCAGTCAGAGGATGACTTTTGGGACAGCCATGTGCACCTAAGAGATCAAACTGGTTCTCAGGTTTGGTGGCAAATGACGTGCCATTTTACTATGAGAATGTTATGTAAATCTTTGACAATCGATTTAAGACACGAATATAGTGTTCTATGACAAAGCTTAGTAATCTCTTTGCTGGTATTTGAGTTGTTGGATATCTACCATCCATGTGGTGGGGCAGTAAGAACAAGCTTTTCCTTCGTGGCAAGCTACGGAGTACTTTGATTTGTTCTGAGCCATCTCCCCCATCACTGTTTAGGATGAACCGAGGGCCTAGCCTGCAAGTTCTCTACAGTTGGCAGGGGAGGGTCGGTCTGCTGAAAGGCAGTTATTAAATCTTGATTTCTTAACTGGATAAGTGAGGCCAGGTACTAACAGGAATTCCATATCCTCTACTCTCAGGCAGCCTAACATTTGTTCTCATAATAAACATGACCTACAGAACAACCTTCCAAAGTGATTGACATGAATTGTGACGGCAGCGTTTAGAATTAAGAGGTTAGCTGGTAAACAGGCAAGGGTGGAGATGGATAACAATAAACAAAGCATTGCTGGCGTCTTCTTATGCACTTAAGAGCTAAACTCCTTTAAGACTCCAAGCTCCAGGGGCTGGAGAGATGGCTCAGAGGTTTAGGAGGTTCAATAGAACAGGTTCAATTCCCAGCACCCACCATCAGGTGGCTCACAACTGCCTGTAACTCCAGCCGAAGAGATCCAATGCCATTTTCTGATTGCCACAGGCATGCACACACATGGGACACACGCAGATAAGCACACATAAATAAATAAATAAATGAAAAAACAAATAAAACAAAAAGCCTCAGCTCTAGTCCTGGACCAATCTTTCTTATTGCTTCCCCGAGTCAACTGCTGAGAGCCTAGGCAGTCCTTCCCCAACCCAGAAAGGAAAGAATACCGATCTCCACATCACCTGTGCTTCCCAGCAGCCCTTGGCAGCATAGTCCCTGAGTTTCCGGAAGTTGTGGAGACATCGTCCAGGATCAGACATCTGCCAACAAGAGAGTTACCCTTACATGGCTGTGTCCTGTGAGGGACTCAGAACTGCCCCACAGATTTCTAAATGTTTTCTTCCTCATTCTTCAGCTTCATTGGCTTCCCCAACATTTACCCCCAAATAATGGTAGTCTTTTGGAGTATGATGGATAGCAGCTCACTGCTCAGATGAGCCCAAAGGTCTGAGAGCCCAGGAGCTGAGAGGAAGCATCTTCCATTTTGTTGACCGAACTTCATCCCAGGGCCACACAAAACTGCTCCTATGTGGATGTTGTCTACCCCACCAAACGAGGCCCCACTTACGTCCATCCTTCTGTCACTTTCCCAAAGGAGGTATGAGCTGGCCAAGCATCCCTGATGAGCAGACTCTTCAAAAAGGGCACGAGCCTGCTTCCTTTTCTCTTCGTCCTAGAGTGGACCAAGCACAGAGGGTCTTTCTCACCTCCTATACAACACCAAGCCCTTCTATCAGCTGCCCTCTTCTGTTTCTATACTCTACACAGTCACATTCAGAGCAGTAACAGATGGAGTAACTACATCAGAGCAAGATAGCAAGACTAAGCATACAGTGCTCAACAACTAACCAAAAGGGCATGTGGCCCCGGGCTCTGCTTTCCCACTAGTGTTGGGGCAGCTCTGGGATACACAAGGCCTTAAACATCGTGAATCAGGGTGGTATTGGTAGCTCTTAGTGTTCGTCTGCCTCACTTGTCTTCCACATCCTTTTGTTACATTCACGGGAAGCTACTACCTGCTCTAAACCTGCCAATCCATCCACAGATCACAAAACCTGTTAAAACCTCAAGAGAATCCTGCAAGGGCCACCATCAGGAGAGCCACGAGAGGATCACAGCAGCACTGCCTGGCCAGGCCCAGCACATCCTCCCCACTGTGCCCTTATTTATGCCGTCCCGTTCACCTCCCTAAAAAGCAGTGTGGGTGCGGCCAGGGGCTCTATGCCAAGGACCAACGCAGGGCAGGTCTTGGGAGTTTTTACTGATATTAGACACTCCCTTTTGTCACTTTTCAAGTATTTGTGGATCTAGGCTGCTGAAAGGCCAAACAAGGCAAAGTCTAAGTACAGAGAAAAACTTAACTTACCTCAAAAAGATTTAGCACTCTTCCCAAGCAGTGTAGTATAGAAGCTTTATGAGCCTAAACAAACAAACAAACAAACCCAGGTTAAGTATGATTTTTGGCAGACAGAGCCCTCCAGTCCTACTGCCCAGATCCCTGCCCCACCACTCCCTGGTTTCAGTTTTCAGCTATGGCTGTTTTATTTAGCCTAAATCCACCAACAGGTTCACCAAGATCTCTGTCCTCATCCCAGACCCCAAGACCATCTGCCACATCTGTTCAAGATGTCTTTCCTACACCTGTACTCTTTGCTTTTCAGGAGTATTCCCAGCATGGTAGGAGAAAGCTCTACCACTGAGCTAAAGCCCCAGCCCTACACTTAATTCTGTGCACCTCCACTTCTTGACTCTACATCATCCATGGAACCTACTTCAGGTTTCTCTCCCTTCTGAGACTCTAGCTGGACTCAAGAAAGCTATGCCCTGTGGGCATTGCCAGGACTTACTCTCTGTAACTGGCACTCTGCCCTGAGGCTGTCGTGGACCACGGCCTTGCAGCAGCTTCCAGATGCTGACCATGGTGGGCGGATGAAGAGCCAGATGAAGGGCTCAGAACCCATATTCAATTTCTCAGCCATACTGAAGAAGCGAGAGGCCTTCAGGCCATTCACTTCTGCACAGGCCTCATCTGACACAGATACTGTGGGAGAAACAGGACAAACTCATGATGGCTCCGGGAGATGGAATGAGCAAAGATCGCCAGTCTTTTGGCAAAGCCTGACATGGTGCAAAGCAATGGACAGAAGAGCTCTGTGGGATGGGGCTCCAAATTCTTCCCATTTTGTTCAACTAATCTTTGATACACAGGCCCCTTCCGGAGTCCTTCAGGAAGCCTGGATTGTGACCCTCAGGGGACAGTGCTCCCACAGCCTCAACCTTCCTCCTCCAGGGAAATGACCCTGCATATGGCCAGAAGGAAGGGCTCTGGTTCACTGTCTCTCTGTCTCTCTCTGGTTTCTCTGCATAGAACTGTCCTAGAACTCATGTGGACCAGGCTGGGAAAAGGCCCTCTTAAGGATGAAACTGTTCTAAAGTGAGAACAGCAATAGTTACACAACCCTAGGAAAATATAGAAACAAACACAACAAAGGAAAAAACCACCAACAACCATGATAAGTACATGAACAACCTCTAGGAACAGCTAACTGACAAGATAGGGACAGGACCTCAGTGTGGAGAGCAGGTTATTCACAGGCTCTTAGTCCTAACAGTCCTGTTAGCTGGACAAGGAGAAGCACTATCCAGCAAGACACCAGACCTTTCAGATGTAGGAAATCGGTATTCTACACTCTAAGCATTACACATTTTAGAAACTGGGGCAGCACAACTGAGGCTTGTTCCTCTGGTGCTAAGCAGAGAAGCAGAAAAGCCTTTTAAGGAGCAGCTGGCCTTGTGCAAAAGGATTCAGGCTCTAAGCAAGCTCTGATGTTTGCCTCATGGAACCATGGTTGCCTGTGTCACTAATCCCTGGCAGAATAAAGCATGCTGATTTCTTTCCAAGCTCCACAGGACGGCCAAGGAAAGAACTTATCTACATCCATCCACAGGCCTTGGTGTTAGTGACCTGAAGGCGGGGCACCCGGACGCAGGCTGATTTGCCTGAACAGTCCCCATTCTGAGGCTCTGATCAATCATCCCTTGATAACCCAAATGAGGAAAAGAGGCTGACTTTCTCAGAACCAATCTCAAAGTGTCAAGGACAGACATAGGGCAAGAATAACTAAGCTGCTAAATCTTGAGAAGGCTGTGGCTTGTGCTTATCTCAAATGGCACCACACATCGGGGCCCAGGGACTTACAGCCTTCATTGTAGAGGTAGGCGATTCCCAACTTCACAGCAGCTTCAAAATTTCCCTTTTCAGCAGCCCTAAAGCAGCAAGAGCATAAACACCACATTGTTTTAAGTCACAAAGGTCATGCACCACCACCACCACAGCACTTGACACTGGTACTTATTTCCTGATTGAATATTTCTTTCATGAAATATAGTCAAATACTGATTATTGATTGCATGCTACAATGTGGCTGAATCTTGATAATCCTATGCCAGTCGCAAAAGATCAAGTATTGTATGATTCTGCTTACATGAGATGTCTACAATTGGCAAACCCAGAGATAGAACAGATAATGGATTGCCTAGGGTTTCTGGGGTTGGGGATGGAGTGGGTGGGTGGCACGGTGTGGGGGCAGGGCGCAATGCCTGCTAAAGAGTACATGATTTCTTTTTAGAATGGCAAAACAATCTAAGTTGGATAGTGCTGTTCGTAGAACTGTGACTACCCTAAAACCCAACAAATGCCATCTGTAACTCCAGTTACAGGGGACCCAACCCCCCCCCTTCTGGCATCTGTGGGCACTGCACACAGGTAGTGCAAATATACACATGCGAGCACTCAAACACGCATGCATAAAATAAATCTTTACACTTTTTGATTTATGATTGGTGTTTTGCCTGCATGTATATCTGTATGAGGGTGTCAGATCCCCTGGAACTAGAGCTACAGACAGTTGTGAGCTGCCATGTGGGTGCTGGGAATTGAATTTGGATCCTCCTCTGAAAGAACAGCTAATGTTCTGAACTGCTGAACTATCTCTCCAGTCCCCAAATAAATACATTTTAAAAGAAAAAAGAAGTACACAAATCTTATCTAGAAGTAACTCAAGCATGGCATCCTGCAACTAAAGTTACCTACCTGCACTTCTCTGGCAGCTCAAGCCTGAGAAATAAACCTGTCCTGAGTTAGTTTCTCAGTTGTGAAAAGGCTCAAGCTCAGTCCCCTGTCCCAAGAACACGTTCTGTCTTTAACCACCAATATTGGTCTTAAAGACAGTGGACCTGACCATTGGCATCTAGGGTCACAGATATAGGTTTGCTGCGCGTCCCCACCCCCAGTCCTGTCTCTCAGTCACGACTACAGTGAAGGGATGAGTCATCCAGTGACTGAAATATAACAGGACCGAAATTACTCAGTTTTGAACAGAAGCTGGATAAAGCTTCTATGGGCAAGTGACTCACATCCAAGTCAATCAGGAATAGTCACAACCCAAGTGGGACCCTCTGGAAGTAGGACAGGCATAGCGGACAGGCAATGACATTGCTTGCTGGAAGCAGTATGACTCAATAGATGAGTTCTTCAGTTTTGGATCTCTTTCCCAGGATGAGAGCAACAGGAAAACAAGTCCTGAGTCAGGTATTGGGACATTAACCAGCACACCAAGCACACCTGCACACCCAGAACACCAAAGGCAGAAGGGACTCAAGGCACTTTTCTCAGAACAGGAATACCTTTCAAAGAGCTTCAGGTTCTTCGGAGAAGGCCACAGCTCTTGGAAGCTGGCAGATGCCCACACACTGGCATGGTTGTCCACCAGGTACTTCAGGTGAGAGTGTACCTGCAGAGCAATGAGAACCATGTGTGAATTAGCAAGGGACTTCCCAAATTCTTGCTCATGGAGGCTTCTGAAGATAGGAGACACACATAGACATAACAGTCTCAGAATGGCAAAGAACCCAGGTTCTATATATAAAAACAACACTGTTTTGTATAGGAGACAGAAGCCAGAAATGAGTTTCTCTGACATTCTGAGCAGAAGAAATGATGGCACTAGAGGAAAGAACAAGCACCCAGGTTAAGAAAGGGACGAACTTGGCAAGGTGGTGCACACCTTTAATCTCAGAACTCAGAGGAAGCAGACACAGGCACATCTTTGTGAGTTCCAGACCAGCCTGGGGACACAGTGTAGTGACTCTGACAAAGGGAAGGAGAGAGGGAGGGGGGAAAGAAGGAAGAAAAGGTAGAAAGAAGGAAAGAGGGAAGACACCTTTACAAAGAATTAGAGAAATGGCTTGGTGCCAGGCAGGACAGAAATTTGTCTTGTGCTGGGCAATCGTGCTGCACACCTTTAGTTTCAGCACTCAGGAGGCAGAGACAGGCAGATCTCCTGAGTTCAAAATCAGCCTGGTCTACAGAGTGAGTTCCAGGAGAGCCAGGGCTACACAGAGAAACCCTGTATCAAAAACAAACAAACAAACAAACCAAAAACCAAACAAAACCAAAAATCAAAAAAAGAAATTTGTCTTGCATTTCTCTGTCTGGTACCCTGGTGGAATATCTGGGGCATGAAAGTTACAGGAACTCAAAGGGAAAAGACTGAGTCCCACTGTAGTAATCTTAAGACCCAAGAGCCTCTATCCCAGCCAGATAAAACCCAAGCCAAGAGCAGAGGTGAGTATTTTAAATCCTAATGTTTCCACTGTAGCTGGAAATTTAGCATCCTATGCTTCCAAGGGTGTGTTGTGACAACAATGAACATGACTATAGGAGTCGTACAATGAATTCCTGGCTTGTGTTTTCAGCCAGTTTACTGTATATCTAGGGTCAATCATTTAAAGTGAAATTATGGCTATAAAATAACTCAAGTCCATTCCAGCAAGTTAAATGGGATTTGTCTGAAAAGAGATTTTTGTTTGTTTTATTCTGTCTTTTTTTTTTTAAAGATAGTTTCACTATGTTGCCTACAGCACAACTTAAATTGCAGGTTACATAACTGAGCATAGGGTTACAAAAAACTTTCAATAGTAAAAGATTTCTGAACATGCAAAGACCAGAATTTAACTGAACTGAGGTGTTTCTGACATATTGCACCACACGACTTCACTGTAGAAGTGGTTCTGAACACACAAAACCTATCTGTAAGCCATGTATGCTGTTGCCAATACATGATGCCTAAATCACTTTGTGCAAAGTTTTCTGCTCTAACAGAAACATAATCATTGAATGCTGATACACAAAGACTTTTCATATTTTCCTAACAATATTTCCTCAGGATTTAATTACCAAACTAGTATCTCTTTGGATTGTAGTCTTAGAATATTTGGTTTTTAAAATTGCTCTTGAAGCTGGGCAGTGGTGGCACATGCTTTAATTCCAGTATTCAGGAGGCAGAGGCAGATGGATCTCAAGACCAGCCTGGTCTACAGAGTAAGTTCCAGGACAGGGCTACACAGAGAAACCCTGTCTCAGAAGAAGAAGAAGAAAAAAAAAGCTCTTCAAGTTGCTGACTCAGGTTTTTATAAAACAAAAATCCCTAAATGAAAGGACAATAGAGATGGCTCAGTGGTTAAGGATACTTGCTGCTCTTGCAAAGGACCTGGGTTCAGTTCTCAGCACCTATACAATGGTTCAAAATCATTCCTAACTCAAGTTCCAGAGGACCTAATGATACCTCCTTGGGTAGGAGGTACACATGGAGGACATGCAGGCAAAACAGATACATAAAAATATATATATATATATATATATATATACATATATATATATATATACACATATATATATATTAAATTAGTATTTAAATTGATAAACTTTGTCTTAAGACATAATTCCTAAACAAAACAAACCCCTGAAAGGGACCTAAATGTATTTTTGAGATAGTTTTCTCTATGTAGTGCTGGCTGTCCTAGAACTCACTGTATAAACCAGGCTGGCCTTAAACCAGCAGAAATCCTCCTGTCTCTGTCTCCAAGTACCGGGATTAAAGACATGCACCACCATGCCCAGCTATATTTCCACCATTTAAAAATTCTTATCAGCACTATCTTACTCCTATTTACTTAGTTGTATTTATTATTTATACGGTCTATGTGTACAAGCATTATGGGCATACCTGTGCCATGGCATGTTTGTGGAAGTCCCGGGACAGCTTTTAGGAGCTGGTTCTTTCTGTTGTTGGGGTTACAGGAATGAATCACCATGTCCAGTTCATGATCTTTTTTTCCTTTTTTAAAACTTTGTTTTTATTTTATATATATATGGGTATTTTGCCTGCATGTATATATGCATACCACATGTATGCCTGGAGATACTGGAGTTATAGATGGCTATGAGCTTCTATGTGGGTTCTGAAACTAAACCCTGGGCTCCCGAAAGAATAGTCAGTGCTCTTAACTGCTGGGTCATCTCTCCAGCTCACTGTCTTCTTTTCTTGAGATGGAAATTTTACTGCCATAAAAGGGTCTTTTTTTCTCTTGAAATAAACATTACAATGAATCATATCAAATCTCAGTATGTGGTCCTTATAACTGAAACATCTTCAAACACCTATTAATAACATCACCCTTGTTTTGACAGGTACAATGCTAAAGGCCTGTAATCCCACCACATGAGGTAGAAGCAGGAGGATCAGGAGTTCAAGGTCATAGTTCACTATATAAGTACTTTATGACCATCTCGAGCTAAGTGAGACACTGTCACTTCCCCAGGAAGAGCTAGGGAAAGTGATACTTGTGGCCGGGCAGTGGTGGCGCACACCTTTAATTCCAGCACTCGGGAGGCAGAGGCAGGCGGATCTCTGTGAGTTCAAGACCAGTCTAGTCTACAAGAGCTAGTTCCAGGACAGTCTCCAAAGCTATAGAGAAACCCTGTCTCGAAAAAACAAAATAAACAAATGAATAAAAAAAAACCACCCACTTCCTTTGCTTTCCTTTTGACTCAAAGTTTTGTACATTTAAGAATTTGAGATCTCGGGGCTGTAGAGATGGCTCAGAGGTTAAGAGCACTGGCTGCTCTTCCAGAGGTCCTAAGTTCAATTCCCAGCAACTACATGGTGGTTCACAACCATCTGCTATGAGATCTGCTGCCCTCTTCTGGTGTGCAGACATACATGGAACCAGAATGTTGTATACATAATAAATAAATAAAATCTTAAATAAAAAAATAATTGAAATCTCTACAGTTTAGTCAACAATACTGAGACTGTTTCCATAGGGTGACTTACAGCTCGGACAGCAAGGATATCCCCAACAGAAAGCCATTTCAGGATATGAAAGAGTACATCTTCTGGAAGACTCAAGATGGTTAAGTTTCGGGGTCTTCTTTTGATTCTTCGCTTGGTAGGATAACAGAAACACTTGGCACACCTACAATGGATCACTAAAGGGAAAAAACCCACAAGCCTCAGTGAGTTGAAAAGTTGTATATAAAGATGATTCAATAGTTACTTCTCTATTCATACAAGGAGCACGTCCTGAAATTAAAGTGTACTATATAAATTACTTAAGATAACACCATTCCTTTAATATCCGATGATTATTCATGGTGAATATCTCATAACATGTAATTGAATACTGGAAACTTTCTGATTCAGGATCCACATGACAACCAGAAAGGGGGGGAAAAGCACCAATACTGATAAATGTTTTCCTTCAATTTCATTCAAGAAAGTACTTTGGAGGCCTGAGAAACGGCTCAGCAGTTATCTCCAGGCTCAAACCAGTCAACAAGGTGGTTTGGACTTTTGCTATATATTTTTGCTTCTTGTTTTGTTTCTTGAGATGGGGTCCTCTGTAGTCCAGATTCACTCATATAGCTGCTTGTACCTCCCAAGTACTGAATTGTAAGTGTTGACTTACTTTGCTTATATTTGCACGTGTCTAAAAAGTTTGGGAACTCAAATTAATAGGGAAGCTCTCCAGAACACAGAAGCCAGTCAGTCTCAGAGCAGGTCTCTACTTCGCAGATGTCAATGTTGCCCAGTCCCTGAACCCACTGGTCTGCTACATCCAGCATATATAGTGAAAATTGCAAGGTAAGATCTAGCTCAGTGGTTCTCCACCTTCCTAATGCTGAGACTCTGACACACTTCCTCATGTTGTGCTGACCCCCAACCATAAAATTATGACGTTGCTACTTCATAACTGTAATTTGCTGTTGTGAATCATAAGGTAAATATCTGATATGCAACCAATGTGAAAGGCTCGACTGTCCCGCACCCCCAAAGAGTCGAGAGACACACACGTTGAGAACCGATGATCTAGATGCTGAGCACAGCCACTGCTCTTTCAGAGGATCTCTCTTCCCAATTCCACAGGCGGCTATTCCAATGTTTACTTCAGCAATCCATTCTTCACCCACCACTGATACCTTTCCCCTTTATTTCACAAGCCGCCCCACCCCAGGTCCTGACTGTAAATGTGAGCGTCTTTCTACCTATTTTTTTTTTCTCCTCACATTGAGGTAAAGTAGTTGTTCCCCTGGCCTTGGTAAAGCTGTCCACTAGGAGGTCTTTAGAGACTGCCCACTCCCAAACTCTTGACCTGAGTTTTATCAGAAACTAAATGTACTGCAAATGCCAAATGCATACCCAGATCTATAATCCCCAAATATTCTGCGAATATTATACCAGTTTCCTGATTCACCTGATCTAGAATACACATCTAAAGTGTTTAACCACTATAACAAGTGAAATCGATCCTCCTGGGCGTGCGAAGTTTTCACAGGGCAAATCCTGTTGCCTCCGCCGACCGTAGCTGCGGATCTGACACTCAGGTGATCGAGGCCCTCCACAAGTTCCCGGACAAAACGTGAAGTCGATCTATATTGTGAGGATCGCTCTCGACTTCACAGAAAAGAGAAATCCAAGTTTGCTGGGCAAAGGACCTAAATCGCCCCTGGTAGCAGGAGGCGTAGGCGCCGGGCGGGCATTTAAACCGCGCGGGCGGGCTCACAGAGGGGGATCCGCGCCCACCCCGTGCTTGGGAGATGCGT